CATACAAATACCATTGTCTAAAACATTTTCTTCTACAATCAAAAATAAAAGTTATTTGGGGTGGGACATTAAAATGGGACACCCTATATATACCTTGCATATATGAACGCGCCTTGTCCATTTGAAACATAGGTATTTCTGTATATATTTGTACATATATATAGAGAAGACCGATATATAAAAATAATAGAGGAAAAGGTAGAAATGTGAAAATAAGATAGAAATATATTTTCATATCTGTCAGAAACAACAACGGCTATTTCATATCTCTACTCGTTTTTCTATTTTTTTTCAGAAAATTTACATTTCGAAAGGTGTAATATCTTTATGAAATCTTGTACAAAATATTATATTACGTATATCATTACCTGATTCAAGATTGACAGATTTGAGATTTGATCAACTAAGTTTACATGTTTACACAATTTTTTTTTAATTCGATACGATTGAAAAAAAATCAAGAATCAATAATAGAAGTTGCCACTTTTCGCGTGAAGTCTTTCAAGTCTCGCTTTTTTCCCTCTGTACGCGAGAAAATGAATCCTCGAGAATGAATCAGCGCTTTCGCGCACCATCGTTACTTTAAAAGAGGATTTTAAAGTAAATTTAAAGGTCAGGAGAGACGAAAAATTGTATGAGGGTTTGATACTGGAAATTAATGAAAGATCCGATGAAAGCGTCGTGTCGCGCTATTTCGAGGTCCGTCATGGTCGATCGCTCTGTAACTGAATGAAGCCAGTGTAGGATTGCGAATGTATGTATATAGTATACCGCGTTGTGTCGCTCCGCTTCAAAACTTCCAACCGAGGGAGAAGATTGAAGATTGAATGCGACAGGGTACGCCGAGAAATTTTAAGTGCATAACTATGTTTAAGTAATTGACGTAACTCTGTCACGTAGCTGCGCGCGCGTGTCTTCTATATTATAATATTTATCAAAACTAACGATGACGAAAGAATACACAGTGTCACTTGTCATAGGATTTTTAGGTGTCCCAATATACATATATTACACCTGCAAAATTTAATCATGTCTAAATTTTAGCTATGGTGTCTAGATAATTTTAACTTTTAGTTTAACTAACTCTCTGTTAATTAAACATTATTATATTTATATATATAAATTATTATTAAAAATTATTATATTATATTATTAAAAGTATTAAAAATTATAGCTTAAAATATTACCATGGCATTTAAGGATATTTAACTATGATATTTTTCTTCCATTATCTCTCGTAGAAATTTATTAGATCGCACAAATATTAAATGTGCATAATCAAATCAGATTAATTTCACTACGTATGCTTTATGTGTTGCTATATTAATTTTTGTTCCAAAATGTGTTTGTTCAAGAATGAAATTGAATTAATTTCTATAATCGAATATACAACGCATCGATCCTTATTGCTTTATTAAATGACCTTTGATTTTCATATATATATATATATATATATATATATATATATATATATATAAACACAATTAGTATTGTGAAATAGTCATTTAAATTTTATAGCAACTATATTATATGTATATTACTGCTATATGCTACTGATTACTAATAATTAAATGACTATGATTGCTCTGTGCGCATTAAATGACTATTTGTTTATTATTTTCACGTTATTAATTGCAGTAATATATATTGCAATAATATATGTATATACAGAATGTTAAAAATTAGACCGATAAACTATGAAGGGAGAAAGAAGTCTTCAAAATAAATATTTTTTATTAATATTAAGATTCTCTGCAACGTTTAGTTTTAATATTACATGATATGAATTTGTGACTTTTCAGTTTACTACCTTTGTATTAAAGTTAATAGAGAAATTTTTGAGCATTTACTGTAGGAAGAGTGAATTACTTATTTGTTCCGTGTTTTCTTCAAGATTAAAATATAATTTAATTTTTCCACTTATATAAATTTATTCATTGCGTTTAAGTCGCAAACTTCCATTTCATACCATGTAGTATAAAACTAAAAACATCGCAGAGAAAAATAGTATTAACAAAATATGTTATTTCGAAGTCTTCTATTTACCTTCAAAATTTGTCTAATTTTTTAACATCCTATAAAAGATAAATTGGTCTAATTTCCTACTATCCTATAAATGTATATAAAACGTAGAAAAAAATAGTATTAACAAAAAATTGCAATCTCAAAGTCTTCTATTTACCTTCAAAATGTATCGGTCTAATTTTTTAACATCCTATAAAAGATGGTAAAATTGTTGTTAAAAGACTAGATTCTGTTCGAGGCGCGTCTGTGAACTAAATGAAATAATAACACTAGGAGAGAGATACGGTTCTCTCAATCTTCATACCAGGCAGCACCGGAAACATGCTGCGAATACATATATACGAATGCGCTTTACGAGCGATATAGATTGAAACATATCGGAACATTGATAAAATAAACGGCTCGATAACGAGCTCGTATATATCAACCATTGCGTTATAAAGCGGCAAGTCGACGTAAACAATATCGCGGTATATTGAAAACAAATGTCAATTCGATCGTTATCGCTGCGGAAATTTCGCCGAACGTTCCCTTATCACGAGATAAATCACACTTTGAGCGTCCCTTTATTTAAGGCATACAATCTCCGTTATATTAAATATAAAAATAATATTATACGCAAAAGTTGCATTTTTTTCATCGATTCTGAATTACGCTGTTCAAGAAAAAATGACTTTTTTCAAATACCGGAATGAGTCGTTTGTTAAAGGTTTTTTTTGGATGCTGAATCCGGTTTCCAAATTGCTCCATCACGTCACAATTTTGAGAAATTTTTAATTAAAATTACAAAAGAGAACTGTTTTCATGACTTCGTCATATTATAGCTATACGATATGCTGGAGACGTTTTATTGCATTCAAAAAAAAAATGATAAAATTAAAATAAATGTGAGCTGTGTTGCGAAAGTTAGGTGTGACTTACAATTAAATCATTGACAATTTATTAAATAGCTTTTAAAGATTTTTTCTAGGTCATTGAATACGAATTCAAAATTGTCAAAATTTTTTGAATGTTTTTTTTTTATATAAATCCGCTATATTGAGTTCACCATTTTTAATTTGACAATTTTGACATTAGATTTGTATTCAATGATCTAAAAAATCTTTAAAATTAATTAAACAAATTAAATTGTCAATGAGTCATAGCAATTTCCGCAATAGATCCCATTTAACCATGGATATCTTTTATTAACTGTAACCGACATAAAAAATTCCTTTTAAAAGGAAAGGTTGAAAGTCCTAACAATATATATACTTCATTTTGATTGCATTAAAATTTCTCTAGCACATATTGTAATTATAATATAACGAAGTCCGTGAAAATAGTCCTTTTTTGCAACGTTGATTCGTATTCAGCATCCAAAAAACTACAAGAACCGACTAATCTCGTTCCGGTTAATTTTTTTATAGAACAGTGTTATTATCCTCTCGAGAACAAACTTCAGCTTAAAAATATCACCACGTGTGCTAGATTTAATTACATCTGCCGTTTCGATACATAAGTCCAATTCATATACATACTCTATATTGTTATCGAGGAAAAGATGTTATTTTTATTGCCGGGAGAGAAGAGAGAAAATCCCGCGATAGAGATTCGATCCAACATCAGCATCCGTTTGGGTCTTCGCTTACACGTTTATTTTCGTCGATGTATATTTTTGCTGATATATACTCTCTCTCTCTCTTCTATCGCACGGTAAATGTTTTATAACCGTTCGTCAGAATAGTGCAATATCTCGCTTCCAATCTTTTACAGGTATATATATATATATATATATATATATATATATGTCTCTTCTTCTACCTCGCGCATTATTTATTACGAGAACCTCGGAAGAAGGTCTCCCCTCCTTGAGATATTTTTCATCGTCTTCCCATCAGGTTTGTTAGGATAGGAAACTTATAGGCATTAAGGTGCAGATACGTTCAATTATACACAAGAATCGCTGCTACGATCGATCCTCGACATGCACGAAGCCCTTCCAGTCTCTTAGAGTTCCTCTTCTCTTATTAATAAGGGCGTTAAATATATTATCGTGTCGGAGGAACCATACACGAGAGATAATACGGTATTCGTGGAAGGTAGGTTCGGTGAAAATGAATGAAAATGTTTTTAATAAATCGACATTTCATCAATCTTCCTACGATATCAACGTTTAATGTATAACAAAATATGAAATATTAATTGTATATTGTTGCCATGGGCGTCTGCAGGATTTTTTTCCAGAGGCAAAGGATGATTACATTTTTTTTGTTTCTTTTTCTTTTAATTTTTTAGGTTTAATTTTTGTTATTTTCATTTTTTTTTTTTTATATAAAATTTGCAAATAATTCCAGTGTTTATTTGAAAGGAGAGCAAATGCTTGATTTTTTTATTAATTCCAAGAAGGACAAATGATTATTTTTACATTTGTCTTATAACTTTTGTAATAGACAGTGTTGTGCTTAGATGATTTTAAAATTTGCTAGGTAAAAATTTAGATAAGATAAAGATCCAGATAATATTATTTTTAAGAGTATGTAAACATAAACGCTTATGTAAACAGAATTATAAAAAAATATAAACTATAAAAATATATTCATACTTTTATTTCTAAATTTTTATCGCTTATCGCTTAAGTTCTACTAATTAATTATTTTTATGTACTATCACTCTAAATCAAATTATCTAAATAATTTAGTAAAGAGAATCCTTTTTTTCATCTAAGATGCAAATATAGATAATACAAATTTTCATTATCTATATAAAAATAAGATGACGCGAAAATTTTATCTCGATGATCATCTGTATCATTTTATTTAAATAACAGCAAACACTGGTAACAGAAATATGTGTATGTTCGCGAAAGATAAATTACATACGTTATGATTGATAACGAGATACAGAATGTTGCAAGATATTCTGCCACATCGCTGTTAGCGCATCAACGATTTATGAGGATCAATCGATGCGATCTTGATTACTGTCATGATCAGATGCTGGATCAACGAGGGCAACTACATGAACGTGCTGGTTTATCCCGTATGCGTTTCCACCATGTTGAATCTGCTCTTCTTGTTCAACATCGTACGAGTTCTCCTCATGAAGTTACGCGCCGGTCCTGCCATCGGAACTCGCCCTTCGAGATCCATGCTGCAAGCTTTCAGGTAGTTGGATTCCTTCGTACTTTAACGTATCTTTCACGTCAGGTTGCGCTCTCGCAACTTGACGGCGTAAAAGAAGATATAAGACGAGGCGGAATGACGTAACAAAAAGATCCTCTTTTCTTACGTCTCGTATTAACAATCAACCTATAGCACATTTTTATTTATAATCGTGATCAATTATCAACGCGATATTATTTCAAAACTCTCGCCAATTTATCATAATTCGAAAATGTTAATTTCAGGATTGGATATAATAACTAGTTATAATTAGTTAAAAGTTAATAACTTTTAACTTAGCTTAGTTAATTTTAAATGTATTAATTTTTAACTTTAACCAGTTATTTTTTACCTTAAATTTATTAACTTTTTCCTAAGTTAAATTTTTTAAATCTCTGAATACCATTATTGTTTTTTTTAGAAGTTATGAACTTATTATTTTAAATTTAAGTATTATTAATTTTTATGTTTATTTGTCATCAATTGTAATTATCAAATAATATATTTCTATATAAAAATTAAAATTTTTTTGTTATTTATTATTATAAATTTTAAAAGAGTTAACAAACACAATTCTAATTTAATATAAATAATATTTCTAAAAATTAACTTTTGATTTAACTTCAGTTAATTTAATCTTAACTTGATTTTATAAGCCACTAACTTTAACTTGGTTTAAAAAAATCATTAACTTACCCAACCCTAGTTAATTTATTATCACTTAAAATGCAGATAATTCTTGTAATTGATCGCTGACAATTCACGTTAAACGTGAAGGAATATCGATACCTCTCCGTAGATTAGTAACAATTAATTATTTTTTAATTATGCCATTTACGATTGAAATCTAAATCTTGTTATCAGGGCTACGCTACTTTTGGTGCCTCTCTTGGGTCTTCACTATTTGGTGATTCCATTTCGACCACCGAAAAAGCATCCTTGGGAACATTTTTACGAGGTCCTTTCCGCGATTACAGCTTCTTTCCAGGTTAGTGAACTTAAAACATCTCATACGTATTATTTTGTAATAAATTATACATAGCGTATATTTTGAAGAAAACCAGATCAGAAATGGTTCATATATCAAAATAAAATTCTAATTTATATATTTCGAAATATATAACTATATCCATACTTGTCATTGCAAAATATTTATTTTTCGCATATAAAACGTATCGTATAAACAAATTAATTAGTGCAAAGTGAAATTTCCCTTGTGCTAGTTTGCTATATTAAAATTATATATAATATTTAAAAAACGTGATCGCATGTATAGATACTTTTCTGTGACAATAAAAATTTTAATTTTAGAAATATTTACGAACAGATTGCAGTTAAAAAAAAAACAAGAATGTATATGTATATTTTTGTTTGTAAAACGTGAACAGCTTTTCGTTTTTTCATACATATTGCAGAATATTTGAAAGAACTGTTTAAATTTAACAACGGGCTTTTTGGCACATTTCTTTTCATCGAATAAATATTAATAATTTTTTAGACAACCGCGGATTGTCAGAGAAAAACAATAGCTCGATGTATTTTATAATAAACATCTAGTAACATCATTGAAATACGATTCTATTTCTTAGTTTATTTTATATATTTACATGCGTGACATGATATATAAAATAGTGTCATCGGAACGAAGAGGCGGCGAAAAAATGTTTATATTCGGAACATTTTGAGTATCGAACGAATAAATAAAATTTTTAGTTGCAGAATTGCGCTTTTATTTATACACTACAAGACAAGTCCCACGTGACTGATGCATTCTTGTATAATTACTTTATATCGCATCGGATGGAATTGCAATTCAATTGTGCAATCCATCATCGAATGAATCAGTTATCTTGGGGATCTGAAAGCTCTCGGCATAACCATTTTATATATCTAGAAAAAAAATACGATTATTAAAACGTTTATACTCGCGCGTCTTAACAATCTCGCGTGCAGCGATTTATCGATTATCCTTGCGGATGTATTTGAATAAATTCGCTATTTACATGGAAATTATTTAAACTAAAATAAAGATAGAAAGAAACGAAGAAGCATGAAGATCTGTAAAGCATAGATGTAGAAGCACTTTATTTTTAAAGATAGTTTTATTTTGAAAATAAAAATTTGCTCCTTCTTCCACACATAGTAGGAAAATTTGTGTTTTCTTATTAAAAACGGTCAATGTAAAGATTTTTGTGTTAAATATTTAACACATTTATGTATTAATTTAACATATTGCTGTTGTGTTAATTACATTTAAATGTTAAATTATTAAAACAACTAAAAAACACAATGTGTACCTAATTTTAATTTTACACAATAAGTATGTTTTGTTTTATTAGTGACAAGATTTATTTGTTAAAATTTACAAAAAAGGTTTTTTTTATTTTATAATATAAGTGAAGATGATAAAATCTAAAATTAACATATTTTTACATCAAAACTATGTTTATTTTACACAACATTTATTTTAAATTACTTCAAGTTTTGCATTTATTTTGTTGAAATATTTTGATTTATTTTGATAAAATATTAACACAGTATTTATATCTCCATTTAACACATATTATTTTAAATTAACACAAAAATTTCTGTGGACCATTTGGAACATGTGATATCTGTTTTTAACAGAAATTTTTCAACCGTGCAAACATTAATTTACAATACTCCACCTTAACTTGAGTTTATGATTTCATGACTGTCAAAAGTTATCCTCAGTCTTCCTCAGAGAAAATCAGGAGGATGAGAGTATTGTGGGACGTCGATTAATATAAATCTTCTAACTTCTCGTATATATATAAACACCGTGTACGACGGAACGTATAGTGAAGTGGAAAAAAGTACGCTATAAAATTTTAAGATTTATCGGCGGTAAATACTTGAAAGTTAACCGAAGATAAGAAACCTCCGTATCTCTTAGCGCGTGGAATTGTAATAAAATCTCGAGTCGGGGAATTCTCTTCGGAAACGTTTCTCTTCGACCTCGATATATATACATATAGATACGTATAGAGATAAAATCCAATTTCTCTCTTCTAGGGTCTCTGTGTGGCTGTGCTTTTCTGCTTTTGCAACGGCGAGGTAAGTTTTCCCGCAATACTTGACTTTCTAAACGGAAAACGGCCCGTTTCTGAATTCTCGGGGTATAATGATATTTTCTCCCCTGTGGTGTCCTTGTTTCGCAGGTAATAGCGCAGTTCAAGAGGAAATGGGACGGCAGCGCCCTTTTGCGAAAACGAGCCAACTCCTGCACGGCTACAACTGTCTCGGTATGCAAATAACATATTGACAAAGTCTCAGAGAGTTTAAAGCGGTCGAATCGATCGACGAAATCTCGTTTGAAATATGTATATATCGTCGCTTAAGCTTTCCTCCTCCTAACTTTTCACCGTGATAATAATAAGCCTCGAGCGCGCGAGGGAAACAAGTGGATTTGGAAGAGACTTGTGGCGAGGAACTTGTTCCGTCAAATTGAATTCCTTATCTCCGAAATAATCCCCCCGGATTATCTTAACTAAATCTTCGGCTTTACTTTCTTCTCTTTTCCGTGCTCTCGACATACTTAACATTGTCACTTTGTCGCATTACTATGTTTAGTTTCCTCGGAACAAGAGGCACTTAAATCATTAATGTTTGCCTTAACTATTCATCTATTTAGTCAGGTAGCAAACATACATTGTTTTGACGTCGAATAACGTCATTTTCACAATGACAAAAAATTTTGTTGGATTAACAAAAATTCTGTTCGAAAATGGACGAAACGGAATTCTGGTTGAATCTACCAGAATTCCTTTTAATACAACAAATATCTTGTTTGCACCAATAAACTGATCCCAGACAGCACCAAGCCCAAAATTGGCGCATAAGATATCATTAAGAAATCTTTAAGACAGCTTTAAGAAATCTTATGATATGATATCCGAAAGACATCTTAAATATATTTTAAAGATATCTTATGCGCCGATTTTGGATTTGGTGCTGTCTGGGATTTGTTGTACAAACAAGATGCTTGTTGCATTAAAAGGAATTCTGGTAGATTCAACCAGTAATTCCGTTTCGTCCTTTTTCAAACAGAATTTTTGTTAACCCAACAAAATTTTTTTCCAGAGCACGTTCAATGACGTCATTTTCATGTTGAATGACATCATTAGACGTCAAAATGACGTCATTTTTCAGGAGCCTTAAATATGCCATATAAATGAAATATAAGTAACGCGAAAACATTACATTTTTTATTTAATTTCGCAAATTTTGAGCCACCGAAACGGGAATATCCTGAGCGATCCTTGCGCAATATTACCTCGAAGAAAAAAATAGAGAAAGAAACAAATTCACCATACTATTTGTTAATTTCGATTTATCTCGATCAGTGTTGTTCTTAGATGATTAGCTAAAGATGAAATGAAAATATGTAAATTCATCCTAGATAAGATAAAGATGATTTTGTTTTAAATATAACTGTAGATAAAAGATAAAATTATATGGCGATTTATCTAGATAACTTCCAGATAATATTATTTTTAAGATTGCTTATGTAAACACAGTTATAAAAAAATTATAAAAGGGATTAAAAATATATTTATATATTTTTCTAAGTTTTTATCGCTTAATGCTTAAATTTTACCAGTTAAATATTTTTATGTTCTATGACTATAAACCAAAATGTCTAAACATTATTCTAGATAATTTCGTGAAGATAACATCTTCTTTCACATCTTCTAAGATGCAGATATAAATAATACTGTACATATTTTTCTTATCTATATAAAGATGAGATGACTCCAAAATTTCATTTAGATAATCAGCTATATAATTTTATTTAGATAACAGCAAACATTGATCTCGATTGAAAAAATTTCGCTTCGAAAAATTATGAATTAACAGAATAAAACAGAAAAAAAATTAAGAAAATTTTGAAAGAGAGAGAACGCATTCCTCGGGGGTGTTTGAGTAAGAAGATTCGGAATTTAATAATTAAAGCGAACGAAGTTCCATCAATTTCCTCTCGATCCTCCTGCTTTTCACGCGATGGTCGCGAATACAGAATTTCATCGACTTCTCTCTTTGTCCCACTATATATAGTAATCTATAAAATCCTAGAAAAAGTAACCCGGGTTCACTCTCTCTCTCTCTTTCTCTCTCTCTCGATCCGACTGGTCACGATAGAAAGCACCCTCACGATTTTAACGAGAGAGGATTTTGCGCTTGACGCACTAGACTCGAGAGAGAAAGGGAGAGAGAAAGTAACATTTCCAAACCCCCTTGAATTGAAATTCCCGTATGCACGACTCGTCAATGGCGCGATGCGGACTAACGTATACCCCTACATATACACAGAAATACGCACATATACCTATATAACTCCGACTAATACCACCCGCGTATACTAACATCCCCTGATGATGTGGATGTGCAGAGCCGTTTTAATGGTCGACCACTAATTAAATTGCTCGTCGTCGACGACGAGATAGACATGAAAAAAAAAACAGAAGAAAAAAGATACCTGTATATATATTTTTATATATATAGCTCATATGATCCGTCCGTATCGTGCCAGTGACAGCAGCGTGCTCCGAGTCGAGTCCATTGTGGAACGTTGACTGTTTCAGTTTATCCGCTCGACCGCAGGTCCGATGGCGGGAGAGGAGAAGGTGTGACTATCAAGCGGCATCGGGAACGGCGGACGCCGATCGCAAGCGAGCATCGGCTACAGGCGAGGCCCACCAGCTGCAGCAGCCGCAACAGTTGATCACCGCGGCCTCCGGTCGACCCGCTAATCACGGCAACAACAATCACGCTCGGGTGCTCATCAAACGCGGCAGCGGCGATGACGATTCCTCCCACGACGAGTGCGATCAGACGCAGTGTTGATGACCGAACCCGGGATGTAGAGGATGCACGCGAGCGGGACCACACTTGGAGAGAATCTCCTCCGCGAACCGGAACTTCTGCGATGATTAAGGGATGGTCGGTCGCCTCATCGAGCTGTTGTTCTCATGAATAGTGGTATAAGTCATTAAAAAAAAAAAATGTATATGTATATACAAGGTGTTTCTAAAATTATGTCTATTAGGGAAAAAGTTCTGGTAAACATGGGTCGGAAAATGCTTCCTTTTCCAGTTATAGCCCACTAAAGTGGAGGGAAAAAATCGAAAATGTATTATAGCTCTAGAAGATACTTTTTCATAAATCGCGTTGAAATTTTGCACGGCGTAATAATGAATGATCTTCATTTTTGTGTGGTTTTAATAATTTTATCCGATTTTGAGAGGGAAATATGAGGAGGCGTTAATTTTCATTTTTGGACCCATATTTTAGGAACTTTTTTTCTTATATATTTTGATCTCTAGAGTCTTTAAAATCTCTGACATAGTTTTAAAATTGGCGGAAAAGTTTTTAATGGCAGATTTCTGGTATCATTGAGAGACGATTTTTTCTCAACGAAAAAATATTAACAAAATCACACATATTCTTTAATTAATTTCAAGTAGAGAATTTACTTTAATAGAACTTTAATTTAAGGATCATCTCCAAATGATACCAGGAGTCTGTCATTAAAAACTTTTTCGCCAGTTCTGAAACATTTTGTATATATAAAATAAATATTATATATAATATACAGGGTGTGCCATTTTAATCGATTATCCCTAGAAACTTTTTTATGTTTGATTCTACACCAAAATGTTCCAAACAAAAGTTGTTTTATCCGAAAGACTTTTTTTCTAAAGGGCGCTTTTCGAGATTATTTGAACGTCATGTTTTTTAAATAAAACCATCATACTTTTTAATAATAAATTGAGTCCTCGAAAATTTAGGTATAAAAAGTTAATAAGAGTAAACGATGGCCAAGAAATGATTAATTTTCGAGATTTTATACTTAAATTTGATTTAATTTTACATGATCGATTAATAAGACATCCTGGATATATAATATAAATTATAATGCAAATTACAACATATTTTTATATTTATTTTCGCGCATGATATAATCATTACTCTGCCTTTCTCTTGGGTTCTCTTCGAAGGGTAGAGGATTGTAAAATAAATAAAAAATAAAAAAAATAACGAAATGACAATTGAGTTTACGACGAATATTTTCAAAGGTCTTTTGTTAAAGCCAGATTCTATATAAATGCGACTTGTATCACTATTCCGTTCGTCTCTACCGCTCAAATATATGCCAGGAGCTATAAGGGAAGACGTGCTTTATCCTTGAAATAGAAGCTTAAGTTGCGGAATTTCCTAAGAAGGCCTAAAGATCACGAAGATTATTTTCTTAAAGAAAGATTAATTAACTCGCGCGAGAGAATGGGATGAGCGTGAATTTCACGGGATTGATTTTTGTTTGATTTATGTCTGTTATTATTACATATAATAAAACGTAAACCGCGGGATTGCGATGTATGAATATGCATGCGAATCTCGTCTGCACAATAAATCTTGCCTAAAAAAACAATGAACAAAAAGCGAGATCTTGACTTAGAGAGAGAAGAAGAAATCATATCAGCGATGACTAGATCGTCGTTTTTATACTCTCGAATGTAGCCAAGATATTCGCTATTACTTGTTCGCTCGCAATGTTCAAAAGCAATTAGCATTAATATTTCTTCTTCAATTCGTTTCGTCGCTAAACTATAGTACGAAAATGTACGTAATTTGTTTGTATATAATATTTCTAACACGTTCCATTTTACGCTGATCGATTGTATACTCATATTTTCGCGAAGTAATCATAAACTACCGCAATCATTAAATGCTTTAGATAGAATAAATGTCCGATATACTAGTCTTTTAACTGTATCATAGAATAGAGAAAATTGTGCAAAGCTGTAAATCACGAATCAAATTTTCCATGGATAGATGTGCAACATGCATTTATGGCAAAGGGAGAAAGCGTTCTTTCAAAAATTTTAACAATAAGAGAGAAAAGAGAATATTTACCTGAGGCGATTGCCTTGAAAAATTTTTTAAAACTCGAGAAATTCAGGTACCTGAAGATCCAACATTCGGAACTTTTCATTTATTGACGGAAACAATATTTTTTCCGTATGTGACAAAGAATCTCCCTTATTTTTCCCTCGTATATATATGATTCCATGAAGAATCATTTTCTCATGTACGAAATTTTATGTAAAGGTGTCGATTGTATAAACAATTCTATATGCAGTAAGATGTGAGTATTGTGTACATATAGCGTGTAATCTCGATGGTCACATGAGAAATTTACATTTCCGCGAGCGGAAATAAATCTCGAGATAAAAAGAAATGTGTTTTAAGAATTCAATACATATATATATATATATTTTTTTTTTTGCGAAAAGACGGAAGCGAATGAATAAAGCTAATCGATTTTGCAGCTGCAACATTATTCCTCGCATCCTTTCACGAAGACGGAATTTAAACAATTGTAATGTAACAATAAAGGTATTTTAAAAAATTGATCGAATACGTTAAAAAAAACTCCAATGCGAAAATATTTGTGCTCTTTCTGTAGGAAATGTCTTACTCAATCGAAGAGATAAATTATATCTGATAAAACGGACAGCAAAGTTAAGTTACTTACGTCCTTTGTAGGCCTACTTTATCAAATTGTAGCAGTTTCGTTAACGAAAAATCTTTTTAGATATGTGATTCGTTTGAAAGGGAAAGGAAGGGGAAGTGCATTTCCTCATAATTTCCTCGCTTTTGACATCGCAGCTACAAGGACGGTTGAATTAGACGTACGTTTCCGACCTGCAGGGCCTCTGAACCAGTTCTCCAACTGTGCAGTTATATTAAATTATAACATCAGAGGCAAGAAATTAGGCGTAATTCCTTCTTCTGACGTACGTCGAATTTCTTTCCTCGGAATAAGATATTTACCAACTTTTTAAATCTGACAGATTTTAAATCAACTTTGACAATTTTGTAATGATGTATTATAACGCGATTTAACATTTTTTTAAGTCTTTTGAGATGAAACAAGTTTATATAATTAGTAAAATTTGGATAAATTTTAAATTTGACATTAATTGATGTGACAATATATTATTATTATACATAGAAAGCATAATTTAATAAGAATCTTTCTGAATAATTATGTGATTCATACTTTCCTTCTTCGACAATTTTTACTTGAGAGAAAAATAAGATTCTAATCTCTACCACTTACAAAGAACAATGTGATAAAAATAATCTGATATATATATAACTTTCTTACACATGTAATTATTATGTAATTACAGTTATTCACTATTACAGGAAGGGATGAAATAAAAAAAGTCAGTCTGCAAAAACACATGAAGAATAATTATTGTAATCAGAGTTTGTGAACAAATTCTAGAATGATAATTTACGATAAATTATACATGTAATTTTTTCCTCGCATGTCCGTATTACACAATTATACATGTGATTCGCGATCAGTTTTTGCCGCAGAGCGAGGAAAAACTTTGGCAATGATGTTCGACAAATTCGCGGGCGCTTTTTTTTAAAATGTCAATCTCATTCATTGATTCTTTCATCGCAATTATAGATCCATTTAGATCGAACGATTTTCAACAATTTGTATGATTATACAAGTTCATATAAGATTGATCGAATGAAAATAACACTCGCGACATTTGCATATTTCTTACGAGATATTTTGCATTTCATATTTTAGCATTTTAATATAATACATTAACTTATAAATCTTAACAATATAAAAAAAAACATGCACGATTTTTCGAACCAAAGAATACTAATAAACCATATATTTAAAATTCATCATATATGTGTATGTTGTGTGTGTGTGTGTGTTGTGTGAATGTATAAATTTTAATATTTTTACAATAATATGTAAAAATCGTTCTCACTTAAATAATCATAAATATCAACATCTCAACTTGCAACCCTCTCTCTGCAACATCGAAACGGATCGTTCGTACATATATATCGCGTAATACGACACAAAATCAGTACAGTTATCTCTTTCGTAAAATCTAAAGTACCTTAGAAATTACTTTGGAATGGATATAATAAATAATAAGAAAAAAAAGAGAGATCGTTGACATACATGTTGTCGGAGAAATGGACGACGATAAAAAAAAAGACGTCGTCCGCCTAACTTCTTGTCTCGCTATACGCATTAAAAATTCTGCGTATTTCCAATCTCTCCCTCTCTCTCGCAATCCAAACTTAATACACAACGATTCTATTTCTTTACCGATCTTTTTCTCTCTCCCGCCCAGCAAACACAGTATATAAATGTTATATACTTAAGCATGTTACATGTAACGTATGTTAGTTGTAATTTCCCACTCATAGATGTAACATTTTTAATATTACATATATTACATTGTAGTTATATTTAGTAGTCATTATATCCCAAGATAGCACTGACATCAATACATCAATGTGCTATTTGATATATAATTACAATATAATTACAACGTAATATATGTTATATTAAAATGTTACATCTATGAGTGGAAAATTACAACTAACATGGATGTTACATGTAACTTATATTACCTGTTATATTCCGTTTTATTATAACAATGTAACAATTATATATATCGGTGTTTGCTGGGTTCATTCAACTTCAAACAATGGAGAAGATCTGCAAGGCGGTTAAATTAATATAATACAAAGCAACGACTATCTCTCTCGCGTCTGAATCTCCAACTAATCGTGTTAATGTTCATAATTGAGGTACACTCCCTTTTTCTCTTTAATATACGAATCTCGAGTCTTTCCGTCTTATCGTTGATGTATACATACATACGCTCATTCATGCATACGTACAAACACACTCTCGCATTACATAACTGTACAGATTGATCGTTTTAAAGCTATTATATACATAAAACTCCTTCGTTTCTTTCTTTCTATATCACTTTTCCATAAAAATATAGCGAAGGTGTACGATTTTCGCTTCTTTTTCATATATTCACGCTAAGAAACAGAGAATCCTGATATAGGAAACGTTTAAAATCTATCTCGAAATATGTGTGTGGATGGTACTTGTTGCTTCCGTTATTATAGTATTACTTTATTTATACCAGACAATAGAGATTGATGGCTTGTCATGTGTTTGTTGGTACAGTTTCATGATCATCTTTCGCTAAAACAAATGCACGCAGAAAAGTGAATTCGAAATTAGGTTTTTAATTGAAAGAAATTGATCGAGCACGTTTATACGCCTCTGTAATAATTCGGCAATCATATTTCTTTACAATAATACAATTGTCATGGCTTTTTTTACTTGATGCACGATCGCATTTTCTACTAGACGATTAAAATCATCAACCGTATAATTAAAGAAAATTTAAGAATTTTAATTTGCGGACTTTGATCTTGCCTCTTTTTTCAAAAACACGTGACACAATTAAATTCATTCATAATTCGCATCCTACCCTCTAACGGATGGCATTTATATGTAATTATTAGTCGCGCGTGGGTTATAGTCGAAATATATTATTGTCAAAAAAGTGCTTTATCGATGATAAAATAATAGATCGGGAACATAAAAAAAAGGTGTATCGTAAACTGTAGCTCTCGATAATTTACACATAACGCGATACTTATACACACGTATATATTATGATTCAAAATCGTATTTTATTTTGCGAAACGATTAGCTGTATTTTGTTTTTTTTTTCTCTCTCGGAAGTTTGCAACGTTTCGCGAAATTGTCCCAAGCAACAAACTGACGTCATTAAACGTCAAAATGACATACTTGCTACCTGGGGTGTTTACACGACGCATCTCTGGCAGATCGATAAAAACAAAACATCTACTCTCTCGTGTGAAAATCGTAATCTCTTACGCTTAATCTATCAAAAATCCCCCGAAGTTACAAACTACTCCTCTCTTCGCTTAAAATCTACTGTACAATATTGTTTCGTTTTGTTTTTTTTTTTCAAGGTACATATGACGTGTTTTTCGCAAGAGTCTCGATCAGTCCCAAGGTCTGTATTATAATTATATCTTACACTTTATTACAGAATTCTAATTACTATACCCTATAGATATATCTCTCTTTCCCCGTTTTGGCACTCGTCGTCTCCCTACTCTTATTTCTGGGCGTCAGTACTATTCTCCTCTACGTTCTCATCCCCCGTGCTGTCGTCGTCCTCGTTCTCCGACATATCCTGAACCTGAACGTAGGACATACCTTGTATCTCAGCCGTCTGCGTGACGTCGGTTTCGTCTCCCTCTTCCTCGATCTCGTAAGTGTTCTCTGGGTAAATATACTGTGCCACTTCGGCGTTAGAGTCCTCGTTATCGATACCTAACATGTTATGCTGTATCAAAATCGGATTACCTTCCGCGTCATTAGTCATCATTAACACTGTCCCGTCTAGGCTATGTATCTCGTGCACCTGATCCCCACTACCACCGTCCCTATCATCGTCCATGACGTTCTCATCCGCGGAATCTTCCTGGTAGTCGTCGCCCTCCAGCTCGTTGACGCTCCTCTTGGCGAACTCCTCGTTCTTCACCACCATCACGCCTCCTCTGTCCCCGGCGTCGGAATCGCAATCGCGTTCATCATCCTCGTCCCAGGTCACCGGCAGATCGTTGTTGTTAGCCGCGAAGAAATTGGACTCGTTCGACGGCGCGGCTGTGTTCTCCCCGTCAGTTTTAATCTCCGTTATCTCGCATCCTTCCATCAACTTGTCCATATTCAGCGATATCATCGGACTAAGCTTATGCCTTGTACGATCCATCGTATTGCTGTGCTCTTCAGACTCGTTTTCCGGCAACAAAGGCATTATCGGACTCAGCACAGGCGGGCCGTCGTCGTCGTCTTCATCGTTTTCCTCCTGTTCTTCTTCCTCTTCTTCTTCCTCTTCCTCCTCTTCTTCTTCTTCTTCTTCTTCCGCCTCACCTTTAGCGTCATTTTCGCCGTCATTTTCATCTTCACTTTCAGCCTCGGCCTCGCTCGTAACGTCACCTTCACCTTCACCTTCACCTTCACCTTCACCTTCACCTTCACCCTCACCTTCACCTTCACTTTCCTCTTCGTCTTCATTATCATCTTCACCCTCACCCTCGTCTTCACCTTCACCTTCACCTTCACCCTCATCTCCCTCATCTCCTTCGTCATTTTCATTATTTTCCTCTTCGTCATCTTCCTCATTATCATTCTCGTTATCATTAGAGAAGTCGCTAGCTGCAGTGGCTTCCTGAAGACGCATCGCCTTAAATTTGTCTGCGTTCGCAGGTGCGTCGGAAATCAGTAAGTTATTCAAATTACTCTGTTTATTCTGCTCCGCCGCCGCGATGACGGAAACGGTCCTCTGATCCTCGTACTTCTCCATCGCCGACGAGTTCTCTTGTATCCTGAACCTATCGATATCTTCGTCGTACTGCATCGTTTCCTTCCGCATCACGTGCACGTCCTCCATGTCCGAGTCTTCGCTTTCGGAATTGCATCTACTGTCGCCGCTCGCGGCGCTCGAGCTTCTCGTGTCCGAGTCGGACTCGTTTTCATTCTCCTCCTCTTCCTCCTCCTCTTGCTTCTCCTCCTCTTCTTCCTCCTCGTTCTCGCTCGAACTACTGTCGCTATCCGAGTCGTCGCTATCCGAATTGTCCTCCTCGCTGTTGTTCTCCTCGTTCTGGATGCTTCTGCTACCCTCTTCGCCCTCCGACTCGAAATCCGCTTCGACCTCCTCTTCGATGGCCGATGTTTCGTCGGCAATCAAGCTACCCTTCTCATCGTTGTCGTTCTTCGCGTTGTCTTCGGCATCCGCCGTCGCCGCGTGATTCTCAAATTCCGACTTGCAGATTCCGGTGCAGCTCGCCGCGTGCTCGGCGAGCTTCTCCTCGCTCGAGAAACTCTGCTGACACTTGTCGCACCGGCAGTAATTGATATGAATGCTCATGTGCAGCAGTAGTTTGCTTCTCGCGTTGTGATACCTGCCGCATGTCTTGCACGTGAAATTGTTGCCCTCCGGCGACAACACAGGGGCGTGTTCGGCCTTCAGGTGATCGCTCAGGTCTTGATAAGACTTGCACAGTTTCAGACAGACCCCGCAGGTGACCGCGGCTTCGGCGCGATGAAAGCGAATCAGATGCTGCCACAGGTGCTTCTTGGCGGGCCACTGTTTACCGCAGACCTCGCACGTGCACTCGGTATTCGTCGTCTCGTCGTACACCTTGCGCGAATCTTTCCGCGAGCACTTGCCATTCCCGGTGGACTTGACGTGCGATAACGGCATGAGATTCGGCACCGGTTTCTGGGCCGACAATTGCAGATTGATGTCCTCGAACAGATTGAAGTCGGGAATGTTCAAGTTGGATTCGTTCGTCAGCGGTTCTTCTCGCTGGATCTGGTTGTTGTTCTTCAGATGCGACTCCAGAATCGACGTCGGAATTGTATTGTTCGGGACGTCGAATCTACATACCGAGTTGCGTCGCGTGCACGCGTTGATGTGATTCCAGAACAGGGTCTTGGTGGAGAAATTCTTGTTGCAATTCTTGCACTCGTAGTTGCTTCTGTTTCTCATTTTACGCTTGTCATTTTTCTTGAACTTCTTGAACATGCGAACGGGATCGGTGTTGTGAACGTTCTGATAATGCTTGGCGAGTGTGTCGGAATTGAGGAAGATCTCGGGACACATTTCGCAATCGTACGTGTCATTCGGGGATCGTCTGCGTTTGCGGGAATCGTTCGAGCTCTCGTCGCACATCTCCTCGTCGTACTCGAGATCGTCCGGTTCCTCCTTCACGATGATATCGGGCGTCTCGTAGTCTTCCCTCTTCGCGCTCATGTCCATTCTATATTCATATACGGCTAATTGGTCCTTTGAAACGTTGTGCACATGTTCGTAGTGATCGCGTATATCGTTCTCGTCCGTGAAAACTGCTAAGCACTGCTTGCACGTGAGAAAAACTTTTCCATGACACTTCTTCGTGTGATCGAAAGCCTTCCACTTGGACGCGTACTGCTTGCCACACACCTGACACGTATTCGGATTGGAAAGAACGCTGCTGTGCTCTGCCTCGACGTGTTTCTTCAAGTCTTTCGGATCCTTCATAGGAATGAGACAGACACCACAGGACACGCCGATCTCGTTCCGATGTAATGATAATACGTGCATCTTCAACTTGAGTTTGTTCTCCACGGTGTCACCGCAGAAATCGCAAACGTTCGGGTTGCTGTGATATTTGTGATCCTTGCGATGAGACTCGAGATCCTCCTTGGTGCGGAAAAGTTTCTTACAGCTTGGATGGTCGCACGTCAGATCCGGGTGATCCATGTGATTGACGCGATTGTGCGTCATGATACCCAGCTTGGAGGTGATGGTCTCGTTGCACAAATGGCAGGTGTAGGTGCTGTGGTGATTCTCGATGTGCTTCTGCAGACTCGCGCGATCCTTGAATATCCTCTCGCAGGCTCGGCAGCGGGTCAATAACGCTCCAGGATCCTTACGATAGTTTTGGCAACCCTTCATATGACGTCGGAGCAGGTAACGCTTATGGAATCCCTTGTTACACTTTTCGCAGTAATGCAAGACACCGTCCTCCATACTCAAGGACTTGGAAACGATACAGTTTTGATTGTCCTTGGTACCCATGGTGGGTACGTACCTGTGAATCTTGGCAATGTGCGCCGCCAGATGATCCCTCGACGCGCTCGTTTTCGCACAGTACGGACAAGTCACGTCCGGGTGACCCTTGTGCACTCTGTTCACATGTTTCCACAAGTGCGACGTCCTACCATAATACTTAACGCATAGATCGCATGGGAAGAGATTGTGCACCACCCGACGATGATTACGTAAACTGTCCAGAGTCGTGAACTTGTGCTCGGGGCACTGTTCGCATTTCAATTTTACGTCTACAGCTCTATTGTTGCCATGCTCGAGCTTGATCGATTCGTTGGTCGGCTCGTTCAGGTTGCTGTTATCACACGCGACGTCCGCGACTACCGCCGCCGCCGCCGCCGCTGCAGCTGCCGCCGCTGCTGCTGCCACCTCCAAACCGTGGATCTTTCTATGCCGGGACATTTTTGATTTATTGGAGTACGGCCTACCGCAAATATCACAGCTGAAATCACCACTGGTCAGTGGCCAATGTTTCGCCTTAACGTGGGCACTTAACTGCATCACGTCGGAAAATACTTTCAGACAAACGCCACAGATCAGGGGCACCATGTCCGCGTGGACGCCCATCACGTGTTTCCAATAATCGACACGGGTAGGCCACAATTTCCCGCATATTTCGCAGGTGTTCGGCGACGGACCTTGGATCAAATGATGCTGACAATGGTCATTACGCAACAATTTCGTTGCGAATATCTTCCCGCAGTTTTCATATTCACACTGAAACGATAAATGTAATGAGGTCAGAATCAGAATGACGAAGGAAAAAAACGCGATAAGAATCTATTATCTCTAACTCACCTTGATGGAAGATTCGTTACTATGCATGTTGTTGATATGCAACCAGCGTTCCCATTTGCTCGAATGAGAGCTACCGCAGATTTCGCAAACGAAAAATAAATGATACTGCGCCCTGTTACCGGTGCCGTTGACATTCGCAGCGTTTCCACTTCCCGCGGCGTCTCCCGACGAAATTATCTGTTCGGACTGCAACAGGAAAATTCTTTCATCTCTACACTGTACATATGTTATAATATCGCTAAAGAACCCCGCACCAAAAACATAGAATTTTGACTTTCGGAATTGGCTGTTTTTTTCAATGTTTTTGAACAAAAAATGTAATAGCCTCAAAGCTAAATGTTGGATAGTTATTAAGTACAGTCATAGAGCCCAAGTTTTTCGTGTTTGACATGCCGTAAATCAATAACTATCTATTATTTAACTTTGAGCTTATTACATTTTTTGTTCAGTAAATCATAAGCTACAACATATGAAAAAACCAGCTGATCTTTTTCTAAGATTCAATTTTATATAATTAGTACGAGGTTTCTGAAACTTAATAAAATTCTAGATGTAATTAAATCCTTCTAGATAAATTAATCATTTATTAATGTGTGATTTTACCTTATGCGCATTTCTCTGATGTCGTATAAGGTGATCCTCATTTGGAAAAGATTTATAACAAATGTAACAATCGACTTTCTCGCTATCTTCTGCATCAAAATCTATTACTTGCTCATTTCCTTCGGTACCATTTAAATTCTCGTTATAATAATTACTGTTTAATTGTACAAAAATTGCAGGATCAAGCCCAGAGTCGATATTGTGTATCGAGACATGAGCGATTAGCTTCTTTCTTGAATCGTGCTGCCTGCCGCATATCGTGCAGCTGTACCTGTATCAGCAGTTTGTAAATGCATTTTACATTTATTACGCTTTATAAATACATACTTGCATATTTTACGAAAATACTGGCTAATACATTACGAAACAGAGGAACACGAAAACTATAATCTAAGAAAAGTAAGTTTACAAAAATTGTATGAAATGAAAGTAGAGACACAATATACACAAGCAGCTTGTACCTTCTTTGTTCCGATATCAAAAGCTTGGATTTTCCGTGGTACATGTAAAGATGACTCTGGAGTTGTGTATTATCGGAACATATTTTTAAACACACTCCACAGGCGAATGCAGCAAGTTCCTTATGCGTTGCACGCATGTGTAACCATAACGACGCTCGATCATTAAAGTCTCTCGTACAAATCTCACATATAAATACTGTTTCGATTTCAATATTCTCGTGATTGTTTTTCGAGTCTTTGTCATCATTGTCCAAATTTACCTGTTTAACGTAACAGATGTGTATGCATATCGTATCGCATTGTAACAAATTGTCCTTTTGATATAACAAAAAAAAAAGATAAAACGAAAATGTTATTTTACCTCAGGTGACGACGAAAACTCCGGTGGTTCCTTTATTTCGTTCTGCTCGTAAACGCTGACATCCATTCGATTCCAATTCTGAGGCATCACAGATGTCTTTAGACACTTGTCGTTGTCAATGATAGGAGTAGGATCGACGCCGTGTATCGTCAGGATATGCCTTATCAATGAAGATTTCAAAGCGAAATCCTTCTTGCATAGTATGCAGACAAACGGCTTCTCGGCGTCGTGCCTAACTTCGTGCAACTTTAAACTGTCCACCGATGTGAAACTTTGTGGACAATATTCGCAATACCACCTTTTTATCTCAGGATTCGTCTCACCTTCTAAATATAACGATCCAAAATTAGGTAGTTTTTTAATCCTATGTGTGAAATTTTCATTCGTTCTATATTATGTAATTTTAATCATTGAAAATTTTACCTATCTTGACCATCTTTCTCGTCTTGCAACTCGACGTTGAACCATCATCGTCGTAATTCCGTTTTAAACTGTCTCCTTTAGTCAACGCGTGTTTCAATATAGTCAAGTTTGGATTCTTGGCCAGTTTAGCCTCGGCACTCCTGAAGTCTTTGTTCTCGTCATCCGAGTCTACGATACTCGACATATCGGACACATCGATTACACTCTTATTGTTCTGCGCGTCGGCTTGCCCTAATAGATCGGCGCTGCGTTGCTCCTCGCATATCTGACGATGCGCGTTGAAATCTGCCAGATCTTTATAAACCGTCGGACACGTTTGACATTGATAACGTGTCTCCGCGCGGGAAAAGGACACCGATACTTCCGGAGGTGGCGCTAGACCGGCGTGTCGGGATTTTATATGCTCCTCCAGGTTGTATCGTGTCGAGTATATGCGCGAGCAGTACTTACACGTTACCGCAGGATGTCCCCTAAAGTAAAACGAGAGCCAAGCATTAATAACTTGAAAATGTTAGGAACGTTTAAAATTAAGGCACCTGGCTCCTCACTATTCATGCTGAATTTGCGATGTCAGAGGCGAGGAAACACACGTTAAAAATTCTTAGATGCCATTTTGAAATAAAGATATTTTGACATCACAATCCAACAAGGCCGAGGATTCAGGACCCTTAAGCTACTAAAATAATAAAATAAATTACTAGAAATTATATAGCTAGCCGAATCATCTCGTAACTCGATAAATCCTAACTTTGAAAGAAAAAAGTTTAGCTCAAAAATATAACACATCCTACTTTTTAAGAGTATTTTTAACCAAGAACTTTAATAGTACCTTTACTAACGGATTCATTACGTTGCATTACAACGATACTAATTTATTAATTTACATGTAAAATATAACTGTCTAGATCTGCTGAAGCTCACCTATGTGTCGTAGAAACGTGTCCCCAGCGATGTTTCGCGGTAGAATACGATTTGTGGCAGAGATCGCATTGGTACGGTCGTTGATACGAGGTATGATCGTCGGTGATGACCCTTTCGCCGATCACATCACCCTCGCCCACATGAATCCTCGCGTGCAGTGACAAATGACCTTTGGAGCTAAACGCCTTGTTGCACAGAGAGCACACATAGACCTCGTGCTGCTGCGACGTAGGTGGGAAGACGACCGTGGCATCTTGTTGACCGGCAACGGCGCTCGTATTATTCGCGCTGCACTCTTCCTCGTTTTCCTCGGTCACCATCGGCGTCATTTCTAAGAAATCACTGGGATTCGTCTCCATGTCCATCTCGTATCCGTCTTCGTAATCCATCTCCGAACGTCGATCCTCCGTCGAATCATCGAGCACTTTGCACAGAAATAACATATGCGTGAGCGACATTTCCAAAAGACTTTTAAAAGAGGAAAAAGGATGTTTTTTCTTCTTCAGAAGGAATGTGACGTACCTTCATCCGTACCTTCGCTCGCATCGAGAATCTCTTCGACCTCGGCCTCACCGTCAGAATTCAATCTCGGCGGTGTACCTAACGCGGCATTCGGATTAACCACAGGCGCCTCCGGGATAAGTATTGGCATATTTTCCTTTCCCTTGAGAAGCTCCGCGTGCATCTCGCTGCACTGCGTGCTATTATTTGCACCGTCATCGTTTGCCTACCGACACATGATGAATTTATATACATGTGTACATATCTTATTATACATATTTATATATAAATATTTTTATTATTATATAATATGGTATATTTTATTACATATATTTCATATAGATATACAGGGTGTCCCGTACCCGGTGAATCACTGATTTCCAGTAGATTCCTGACGTCATTTGAAGACGATTTTTCCTAGGCGAAAATATCAAAGCACTAATAAAGTTATAAGCGATTGAAAATAAAGAAATTTTTGCACACTAAGTCTTGTAGAAATAAAATATTAACAAAATCACATTCTTCAGTTATAGTTACTTTTAATTTAAAGCTTGTTACAAACATGGCAAAAATTGAGAACATGTAAAAAATGATGAGTTTCCTCGAATTTCGCCGAGAAAAAATCGTCTCCAAATGATAGAAATCTAACTGTATATCAGTGATTTGCTGGGTACAGGACATCCTGTATAAAACGAAGAAAATCTCTGATTTATAGCACGTGCCTGTGCGATACAAAAATTATCTCTAGAAATTTTCCTTTGTAGAATCTTTAAAAGTGACAATCTATAGAAATATAAATGATTTATACTCTGATTTGGAAACTGGAAGTTTAAAAATATGGATCCAACTACACCAGAAGAGAAAACGGCGATTGGTATCGGAATTGTGCGATTACGTTTCGATTCGTTCTCCATATTTTTCTGTCAAGCGCACAAATCAGAGATTAAGTTTGTTGCAACATCCAAGATCCGGAGACACTTACGCCTTCCTTGGGCCTGTTTCTTTCCAGCCAGGCGGCCGCGTTCACGCACGCGGTTCTGAAGTCGTAAAAATTTTCCAAATTGTACATGCATCGATAACACAGAACTTTCGGCAGACGATCGTCCTCCTCTATCTGCAACACAGAAATTTTCGACATTTGCATAAACGAGTGGCTGTGAAAAATCACATATTAGCGGAGCGATTAATAAAGCTAATGTTAAAGTGTATTTGCAAATATTTAATTAGAAATTATCGCTAAATTTCTCATTGATAATTCGCTAACAGAGTAGATAATAACAAAGTGAAAATTAAATTAGGTATTTAATATGTATGTTGGGATTCAATTAACGTTTTGCACAATTATTTGTGATTTATAATTAATTCTAGAATAATGTCATCAATATTCGAATGGGAGAGATAAAATATGAACCTAATTATTTATTGCTTTTATATTACTTTCTAATATTATTATTTCGTTATTACAATATCTTGGCTCTCTGTTGTGGATTAAAATAAAATTGTAATTATATGCGAATAAATCTGTTGCAAACACAGATGTTATTATTATATCGACTGCCATTTTAATTATCTTTCGTGTCGTTAAAAACTAGTAAATCCCTCGTAAAACGTTCGCGCCTCTATCCTCTCGTTATTGAAATGCACGTCGCACGTTACGTTCGTCACCGACGAGAATTTCGTAACAATCAATCTCAATGAATACAACTTGGATGCAATCTGCAATTCTAAGATGCAATTAGCGGTCTCTTCAGAAATTTACCCAAAATTAAAACTTCGCCTTCCTCCAATACCATCATACCTAAACTACTGCGTAAAACATTTTTCGAAGAAGAAATCTCAACTTTTGCGCAAATTGTTATTAAAAAAAAAAAAAAAAAAAAAAAAACAATCTCAACGATAATATTTATAATTTTTTTATAAATTTATCTCTCTCTTCATAAATTTATCTTTATTGAAATTATATTAAAATTAAATTGTATATATAATAATATATAATATATACAATATAAAATTACATATAAATATATAAAATTTATAAATATATAATAAAACTGTACTTAAACTTGTAATCCCAGAAAATTATGCAAATTCAATTCATATAGTTATAATACGAGGTATCTTAAAGAAGATCGCGTGTCTCGTCACGCGTCTCGTCCAACAACATTTGACAGAATAATAACGCATCCTCGAAGAAAAGCTCGCGTGTTTCGTAATCAAGTCGATCTTCTTGATTTTGTCCCAACTTTTATCTACCGACCCGCTTAAATAAACCCCTTGATTAATAAAAACGACGAGATAAAAAGCTTCCGGAATTGAGCAACATCCCCCTCGTGCAACAGAGATGGTGCACGTGTGATGATCCGGTGTGGAAAATATCGAAGGTCGTGAAGGAGGTGGTGGAGAAGAAGAGGAGGAAAATCCGTCGAGCCTCGCTTCCAGGAAGCTCCATCGGATCGATTCGAGGATCAAGGACGACTCCGCTCGGCGCTGACGACCTGGACTCGATGTCGGCTGCTCGACGAGTCTCGTGGCGGCAAACAAAATGTCGCCGGTGCGTCGTCGCGACGGGGCGTCCCTTCCGCGCCGTCCTCGATAAGCGATGGCGACGATATTCCGCCACTGGGTGGAATTCGAGGACACGCTCGCTCGGCGAACGAGAGAGAGGAAGAGCGAGCGACCGCGATGGCCGACGGCGACGACGCGGCGGTGGGAAGGAAACCTTCACCCAGTAACGCCCCGTCGAAGCCGAACGAGTCGTCCGTGAATCTCTCTCTCTCTCTCCCCTTCGGTCTTTCTCTCTCTCTCTGTTTGACGAAGAAGCGAAGATGTATAATATAATGTCGAGTAGAATTGTTAGAGGATGTAATTATTAATAAATAATGAATCTTCACAACGCGTGCGTGTACTTATTTTCAATAAATGAATAGCCAGTTTTTGGTCGAATTTTAAATTGCGCCTTATTATTTGTTAAAATTTATCGCTGGCGATCAACGTGCGCGTGTACTTATTTTCAATAAATGAATAACCAGTTTTTGGTCGAATTAAATTGCATCTTATTATTTATTAATAAATAATATAGCTAGAACGCTCTTATCGTGAATAACAAGGATGGAGAATGTATCGCTGTGAAGAGCCAAATATAATACTTAGCAAATTCGTTAAGATGAGAAACAATCTCAAACCGAGATTTAAGTTCCTCTTCCCTTTATCCCCCTAAATATTATTATATTATAGACTGGACTTGTGTACAAATAGGCCGAGGAAGTGAATAAAGATCAATCGATCTCTCTCTCTCTTTCTCTCCGTCTCTCTCGCACTCTCGCTCGACTCCTTCCCTCTCTCTCTCTTTCTCGACCGCGTCTCGGAAGAATGAGATCGAGGACGAGTGGTGCAGGGCCACGAAGCGTCGAGGGAGGTGACTCGGAAAACTTGTACGAAATCGGGAGAAGGAAGGAAGAGAGCGAGGAAGAGGGAGAAGGGAACGAGGGACGCCAACGGGGGACAAAGAGATGCTGAGGAGAGACGGGGAAAATTCTCCAGGATCCTAAGAAAAGAACAAAGGGACTCACCTTGAACGGCAGGCAGGTCTGGATTTTGTCGACGAGCTGCCGGTTCACGCCTTCCTCGCCGAAAATGTGCATGCTGATGTTGTCGTGGGACGCGCACAGCCGACAGAGATCGTGGTACGACTTCTTCCGTTCCATCGGCACCGACGAAGACGTCGTCGTCGTCGTCGCCGCCGTCGTCGTCGTCGTCGTCGCCATCTCGAGACCAAATTCACCGACGATCGTCCCGCAGCGTCGTCCTCGGATGGGAGTGACGCCACAACGTTGCGACTACCTAGTATCCTCCCGGCCGGACGGACGGATGGAAAAACTATGATGGACGACGACGAGACAACGTAATCTCCCAACCGCTGCCCGGGGACGAACTGGCAGCAGACTCCGCGCGCTCTCTCTCTCTCTCTCACTCTGTCTCTCTCTCTCTCTCTGTCTCTATCTGTCTCTCTCCTTCCTTCTCACTCGCCTTCTCACTCTATCCCACAGATAAGGCCCACACCTCTGGTCGTCCTCTTCGAAATATTTACCTACCTACCTGCCTTCGCCGAGCACACTTGGCCCAGGCTACGCGTCGAGCTTCCTCTTCCGTTCCTCGGGCTGCATGACGCCGCCCGTTGATGACGATGATGATGATGATGATGCGAGCCGCGCCGCGCCGCGCCTCACCGGTCAGGACGGGTCGTCGACGTGGTTGGTTTCGTGGTCCTCGTATAACGAATTGACACGCACAGAGCGCTGGGCGCGTTGCCCGTAGCTACGGAAATCGAATGGGGACTCGACTCGCTTCACGCTCGTCGCTGCGGCCGCGCCGCGTCTGCTGCTTCCGATGCCGCCCGACGCTGCTGCTTCCTGGCGATCTCCGCGACGGTGGGAGCTGCTCCGGGCGCCGCCATCTTGTACACAGACACTTGTTTCGTAGCCGGCGGCGGTACGGGCGATCGACGCGGTGTACCGTTGCCGCGCGCCTGCAGCGACGACGCATCGGGACGTTGCCGCGTTTCTGGATAATCGTGGCCCCCGACCGAGAGAGGAGGAGAGAACGAAAAAGTAACCGGAGCGAGAAGGCTCCGCCGAGCACGTGACGCCGAGCCGTCCCATACGCGAACGCGCCCCGGGGACCACGTGACCGCCCGAGCGAGAAGCCCATTGGTCGCTGCCGCGAGGCCGCTGAGCGTATTGGCGCGAGCCCAAGACCCGAGTTTCGCGCGCTTTTTCGAACGACGGAGGGAGAGCCGAGCGAGGAAAATTTGACTTTTCCGGGTTTTTATCCTTTTTATATCCTTTCCATTTCATATTTCCTCACCAATATTGATGATATGTCGGATTTATTTGCGCCATAGACATAGGAATATAATAATAGTATTAATATTAATATTATTTATTAATAATATATATATATTTTATATATATATTCCTGTCTATATGATTTGCGCGTTTGTGTGCATTAACTACAAATAACAAAAAAAACTTTAAACTTTTCTAATTATCACTTGCATTTATAGCTTATGAAAGTATAAAGACATAATTAAACTGTATATATAATTATATCATGTATTAATATTTGATCTGACATTATAGAAACCTAAAAAAAAGGCTTTCAATGACAAGTTACATTTTATTAAGCTTATATCACTTTAGGTAACTAAAATAAACGCCAAAAACTTATGAAGACTATTCATATACAGGAATATTACTGAACACAATTTTATTCTAACCTGTGGATATTTTAAATTTTATAATAATTTACTCACAATATAATTACACTTCTCATTATTATTAACAGACTACCACTTTATGCAGGTTTGTTCTTTTGGTTTACAATTTATAATAGAAGCCAAATCTGGCCAGAAGCTGCGTAAAGTCCAAATGCTAAACGATTCCTTTACGACATCAGGTGACGGCAACTACGCTCACCGAGGTGACCAGGATCAGCATGCGCAAAGTGTTCAATGAACAGAGGCTCCCTGAATTGATTTTCCTCATCCAGGAAGTATATCGGTTCTCCGTAGTAAGTACCGACTTCCCATCCTTCGACGTTCTTCATTAACTCTGCCTCCTCATCTCGATTGCGTCTCATTTGTTTCAAGATACTGTGCAAAACCAGAAGAATGATTATAAAAATCATAGCATTTGAGCTCATCTAATTTGAGATCTTGCATTCAATTTCGTTAGCTACAGGGTGTCCCATAGGAAAATGCTGAAACTAATCAGCTGTCATTTTTTAACGCATGCAGTTATTGAGAAAAGAAAACTTGTGTTGAAAGGAGGAAAATTTGCAGTTTTTAATTGATACAAATAAAATGTTTGTATATCACTTTATTTTAATGATAAAAAATAATTTAAAAAGTGCTAATAATCACATATGTAAACTAATGATAAATAGTGTCAAAGTGCGCCCATTCAAATTTGTACAAAATTCTATTCTTTTACGAAAACTTTTTCTAACATGTTATTTTTAATGTTATTGACGATCCTTTTAATAACTGCTATTAAATCTAACACTGTTAAAAATATTTATCATTAGTTTATGTGATTTTATGTGATTATTAGCACTTTCTTCATTACTTTTAATCAATAAAATAAACTGATATACATTTTACTTATATCCATTACAAAATGCTTTCCCCTTTTCAACACAATTTGTGTTTTCTCAATAACTGCATGCATTAAAAAAATGACTAGTTTCAGCATTTTCCTATGGGACCCCCTATCTAATAAAGCAATGGATCGAGACTACAATATTGCATGATATTCTTACGATCTATCTCGTTCCGCTATCAGTGCTGGCCAGATAGCCAGACGTGTGCTTCTCATCTCAATCTCGTTTCGTTTAACAAGCTTGTAATTTAGATAGTAAGCATAGAATCCAACCACTGTGGTGGCGAAGAAGAGCGCAAACGTGTTCTTGGCTGCAAAGTTGAATGAAAACATTGTTACATAACGTTGTGGGTCGCTTTTTATTTTTAATTTATATTTATATTTATATTTAACGATCCGAATGAAAATTGTATCAATGAAATATAAATCTGCTTTTTACCCCCCAAAATGGTGCGGAGCTTAACCCGATCCGTTTGGATGGGACCATAGCCTCCTTTAGGTGGCAGATCCTGCATCCTTTTACCCGTAGCCGCGTCCATCCTCGAATCTTATTTCCTCCTGCGATAGTGTTGGAATTAGAACATCACTCGGTTATATTTCACGATAAAGGATAAAAGAGTCTCGAAAACATTCGTCTACCATCACGTAACGTCACTCGTCCTCTAAAGAGAGATGGAACATGGAACTTCAATTTATAGTAATACGACAGTGATTAAAAAATAGGACATAAAAATATCGAGAACGAAAATAATAATAAAATATATATATATATATGCATATATATAGACTTTTTTGCTTCTTACATTGTTTTTAATCATCTTTTATATTTTTACATCGTTTAAATAAAATGATCCCATATCTTTGGAGACCTTAAAGTCCAATTCTCATGAATTCAGATTTAATTAAAAATGTAATTTAATTTATAATAATCATCGATTATTAATTACGATCAGATTATTTTTATATTTTATTAAATTGTTTAAATTTTGTTTTTACTTTCTTAATTGAATTTTATTTTTAATATAATTAAAAAAATTTTTTTTAATTTATTTAATTTATATAATTTTTAGAATTTATTTTTTTATTTTACAATTCTATAATTTTACATCTTATGTTTTTTAAATACACATTTGCTTCGAATTGAATACAAAATTTGACATGAAAACCAGTTTAAAGATCGCGACGAATCAGAGCGTGGCTACCCTCCTCCTGATTGGTCGAGCCTCGAACAGCTGTCAAAAGCGTTCTTGTCAAATTTATAACTCGTGCCTCCGCTCGGGAGCAACAGCAACAGCTCCATCTGTGAGTCACGGCGCATAATTGGGATGCTTGCTGTTGATTGCAATACTGAGAAAATTCGTAAGAGATGGTGCTGAACGGGATATATTGAGGGCCTGCTACGAACAGGTATATCCGACTTGCAGTATAAGCGTGCAATAGCGGAGTGTATTTTCGCTTCGCTTCGCGTACTCGCTCGCGAGAGCCGGGTAACAGCTGTTTGCCGCGAGAGCGAGAGCTCCGAAGGGAGGACGCCGACCAGCCTCTACCTTTCTTCTGTCCACTGTGACAGCGCGCGATTATGTTAGTATTTTCGTGCTCCGAGAGAGATCAAGTCGCCGCGCGTTCTCGAGCCACTTTCCGGTTCACAAATTCTCCTCGCGAAATCGCGTCCCTTTTCTTCGCGCGAGAAGATTCTCTGGATATGTTCCATTTTTTTCTTTTTTCTCTTCCCGTTTCGCGATTCTCGCGTGACATGAAGCGCGCGCGCGACTTAATTGTACTGTACAGAGTATTGAGATATATTGCGAATTTTACTTGCTTATTTTCTGTCCTTGATTCAGTGAGAATGGATCGACCTTTCGCGTCTGTGATAAAATTCTCGATGCTACTTTCTGATTCCTAAGATCGAAAAAATCACGCATAGACACATACACACATGCGCATATACAAAAATTATATTGGAGCATGTAGCAGATAAATTAGAGACAAATTTTGTGAACATACTTGGATATATTATTTTATTTTATTTTTTCCAATTTGTTTTGTGCAATACTAATATAATTACAGTACCAAGTGCAATATAATCATTTTATCTGAGTGTCTTGTACTGTGTTACTTTGCTGTCACATTAAATGTGTATAATGTATGTATATATATGCATTTTAAAATATTAACTTTATTTAATGTTTACAGAATAAAGCATAAAATAAAATAATTATTAATCGATATAAATTACTTATCCAGATGACATTTCTTCAGTTTATAGTTTAATATATTATAAAGAAAGATTTTATGCAAATAGTTTTCTATACTTTTTATTGTGACTTAGTTTTTTCCATAATTTGTATTATAATACTAAAAAAAAAAAAATGAATATTTATATTCAATTTTTGTGTAATATTTTTTTATTATGTTAATCAGGTATTGATATTCTATCAAATACTTCATAATGGAGTCGGGAATAATTCAAGAGAAATCACCCCCTTCGCGGGGATTAAAGCAAGTGAAGGTGGATAATTGGGGATCATTCTTTCTTCAACGAGTTCAGCAACTTTACTCCGAAGAACAATTTCTTGATCTTAAAATTAGATTTCCTACAAGCGATATTATTGTACAGGTAAATAATATAAATAATGTGTAATGCTTGTAATAATTTTAAATACATAAACAATTCTTGCAGGCCCATAAACTCGTAGTGGCGACGTGTACAGACTATTTTATGCAACTCGAGCAGCAGCAACGAGAAAAAGATGACTTTAACGGTATAATTACTATGCCTTCAGACATGCCTTACGAGTGTGTTAAATCTATTATAAGGTGCGTACATCTTAATGTATTTATATATTTATTATTAAAAACATTCTTTTCGATTTTATATGGTACGATTGCATTTATATGTGCAGTTTTATGTACACTGGACAACTGGAATACTGGACGTCAGAGCAACATGCTTTATCGTACAGCGCAAAAAATGAATATGACAGTGCTGACAAAATTGCTCGATGCTCAATTCAACACGAGCAATTTACAGGCCGAGACGGCAAAGTCATCCGCGCGACCAGCAATAAATGTTTCGAAATCTCCACCTACAATTTCAAACCGGTCATTAGCTCCATCAGCTCGATGCCGACTTTACCTGGTCAGCCGTTACCTGGCCGAAAGTACGTATGCAAATATAATTTTTATGTTTCGAATATAATTTTATCTATAATAAAATGTCAATAATTTTTCATTATTATTAAAGACTACCCATTTGGAAGAGAAAGCTGGACGAGTCTCCATCTATACCTTCGATGAATTACGAAGTACGACCATTCCACGGTTTATCCTCGATGCATAAACCTCAGGAGACGACTCCCGGTCCATCGAGATTCGATCTTCCGGAAGCGGATGATATTGCACTGGGAGTGTTTTCCTCGTTCGACGATATTACGTATAATACAAAGCCTATTGTTCAAGCATCCGACGCATATAAAAAGGAAATTCCTCTCGTAAACGTTCGCCAGATAGGGACAGTAAAAATGACACAACCGAAGACGAGGACGATGAAAATCAGGGAAATGAGAAGAGTCTGAGAGACGCGAATTCGGACGACGATTGGAGTATATCCAAGAGTTTTTCGCAGAAATCTCAAGAAGGTCAGACCAAGCGAGTGCGTTTCGATCTGGAAGAGAAGGAAAACGTGGAGAAGCCCAAGTCGAATCGACCGAGCACCGACGAATCCATCAACAAACACGCAAAGATCATCAGAGAAGTATTGAAAAAGTATCCGCATTTAGTGAAGAACAATAAGAATATTCGTTTAAAGATCATGCAGAAAGAGACAAAGTCCTCCGACAGCAATGCCGCGTGCAAGACAAAAGTATCATACATGGTCTTGAAGTCCGATCATCTGCTATCCAACAACGGCGACGAGAACGATTCTAAGTGCAATGGTAGCATCGACGGCGAGACAGGTCCCTGGAAATGTAACAAATGCGACTTGGACGAGGAGTACACGAATTACTACATGTACAGGAGACACATGCAGGACGTGCACGAGGAGAAGTTCGATCCGCGAGTCTGCGAGCATTGCGGCTACAAAGCAACCAAGCGCAACATCCTGATGTACCATCTTTACACCAAGCACAACGTGCCACCACCCAAGAGCATGTGCTTCCCGAAGTGCCAGGCCTGTTCGTACGTCGCTCTCTCGGAAACCCTGCTGGTGCGTCATCAGATAAATCACAATCATCGACCTGCCACCCGACATCACTCTCTGCCTTCCGAGGACATCCAATGCGGCCAGTGCAATCAGTCGTTCAAGAGCGTCACCGAGCTCACCACACACGAATTGAACAGCGGACACGGAGGTATGGCGGACGGCAAGGAGGCGAAAGGCCATCGTTGCCCGTACTGCGGCAAGGTGTTTGTTCGCCTGACGAATTTGCAGGTACATTTAGACTGCGCGCACAAGGAGTTACATAGAGACACCAGTGAGTCCGCGCAGTCTGCACCGACCATCTCCCTAGAACCGTCATCCGAAGCAGAGGCTCTCAGCCACGTAGCCAGCGGCATAGCCGCTTCTCTCGGTGTCGGAGACGACACAGATGCGACTGTGGACACGCAAGAGGAGGTATCTGTAACGATGAAGACGAACGATGAGTACATCGTGTCAGACATGTTAGATGACATAACGCATAATATCACCTACAACGAGCACGAACTGGAGGGTCAGCATATGATTATGCTGGTGAATAACGATGAAAATTACCAGCACGTCGAGAACGATCATCATCAGCAGCCGCAACAGCTGGATATCGCTGATAACGAACAGATAGTGATGCAAGGTACGGACGACGGGATGATCGTGTACATTCACGGCGCCGAGGAGGCCGATCATCGATCGTACGAGAGTTATCAGTCTGCTGAAGTTGCGCAGGATGCTGAGGAAATAGTCGAGGAAGTCGTCGAAGAGGTCGAGGAAGAGGTTGAGGAAGAGGTCGAGGAAGAGGTCGAGGAAGAGGTCGAGGAAGAAGTAATGGAAGAGGAAGAGGAGGTTACTCAAGACATGTTGGAGGATTGTGCTGATAATCAGGTCGAGGAAGTGATACAGTATGTTGAGGAACAAACGGAGATAGTGGAGTACGATGAGGAGCAAAGCGAACAGAGCAACAGCATGGACGAGGCTCAAGAGTCGGTCATGATCATTGAAGAAGAGCATGTCGAAGGAGACGAGGATATGGAAGAGATGACTGATAAGCAACGCGAGAAGATGCAAAACTTCGCCACCGAATGGGACGAGGATAGCGCGGAAGCGACAGAGTCATGAACGTCGTATTGTAACGTTGGATTTTATCTTATTTGCTTACGTAATATGTTATTAACTTTTTATCATGGCTATATTCTCTAACGCTTCAATGAAGATTTATTTTATATTTTACTCTGTGTAATGCTTATCGATAGTGGTCGGTGACAGAAGGGAAATGTTAGTGCAAAAGTCACACAGTTGACACTTTGCTATGTGGTTCAGTGTTGAAATGTGACAGAATCAATCATCACGTTATTATATTTACAAGCAACAAGTAATATAATACTGAGTATTGAATTGTACTCTTTACGCTTGTATATGTGAACTCTATCCTTGCACCGACACATTGTATTTTCTGAATTACTTTATTGAAGCAAACACTCCCAACACGAGATGAAGTAAAGTATAATATATTTTACGATGCAAGTTACAGAACATAAATCTTGACATGTATAGTCCTTATTATGATAGTACTTGTAAAAGCTCTTAAGATTTAGAGCCTCTATAAATCAAGAAAAAATTTTTTTTAATTATAAGAAACGTTTATATCTGCTTAAATATAGATCTTATAAAAATATATGTTACACTTATTAATTAAGGTATAGATTAATTTCGTCAAGATCCACAGTAATATGCAAAATATCGGTGACCAATCTCCTAGCTTAATACTGTTCTTGCAAAACGAAAAAATATATATGACGTAGTAAGGAACTTTGAAAATCAATTTTCCTTCCAAAAACTCTGCCTCTCTTTCGGACGATAAACTCTCTAATTTCTATAAAAGGCAAAGATATATACATATAGCAGCAGATTACAAATGATTTTATATTTTAATGTAAATTTTGCACAATCGTACCATATATTATATATTTAAAAAAAATGTAGATAAATAAATACAAAATAAGTATCTGTATTGAACATTTAGTACATGAAATTTACCTGTACATATTTTTATACATCCCAACCTCTGGATTATCCTAACCTTAATATTTCTCGAGGTTGGAGAAACAGATCAAGAATCCTGGTTGGAGAAACAGTTTCTCTAAACAGAAGAATAAAATATTTTTTGATGGAATATTTTAATTGTGGGTAAGAATGAGATTTTTTGATTTACAGTTTTTATAAAATTAGGTAGAATTGAGAGGAAACATGAGCGGTCATATTGCACCAAGCAAATCCACTGTTTACGTTTCGAATTTACCATTCTCTTTAACCAACAATGACATTCATCAACTGTTGGATAGTTATGGAAAAATTGTCAAGTAAGTAATTATTAATAAACTTGGAATTATACAAATTGCATATTATATTTATTTTTTACATATTCTTATTTTATTAGTTGAGAGCATAATTTGTTTACATTATTAATGCTCCCATGTAATTCAAAGTCTGATTATCAATGGCAATAAACCCAGCAAACAGTATATAAATGTTATATACTTAAGCATGTTACATGTAACGTATATGTTAGTTGTAATTTCCCACTCATAGATGTAACATTTTTAATATTACATTGTAGTTATATTGTCATTATATCCCAAGATAGCACTGACGTATCAATACATCAATGTGCTATTTGGTATATAATTACAATATAACTACAATGTAATATATGTTATATTAAAATGTTACATCTATGAGTGGGAAATTACAACTAACATGGATGTTACATGTAACGTACACGTTATATTACCTGTTATATTCCATTTTATTATAGCAATGTAACAATTATATATCGGTGTTTGCTGGGAAGTGCCTTGTAATTTGTAATCTGTTGCGTTTTGTTGTACAAATGTTTATTTTGTGTGGTCTATTTTCAGAGTAACAATATTGAAGGACAAGGTAACCAGACGTAGCCGTGGAGTCGCCTTTGTGTTGTTCCTTAAAGCAGAGGATGCTGTATCTTGTGCGAAAGCTCTCAATAACACAGAAGTTAGAGAAGTTGAAATTTCTACTATTTATCCTCAATCATTTAATACAGCGCAGCTTTACATTATTTTACATCTAATCATTAATTGATTCGTTATCCAATGCATACTTTTTATACTTAATATCCTTAATATACTTAATATACTTAATTCCAAACTTTATATATGCGTTAAATAAGCTTAATTTGGATTGAGTTGTATCAAATAATTAATTAAATAAGTTAACTTGATCTCTCTATCTCTTCGAAATCTAGCTTTGAAGAATCATGATTATGTTAATGATCTGTGTATTATAGTAATAGTCTTTCTCTCCGCTACATTAGATACTTGGTCGCACTGTGAAAAGTTCCATAGCAGTCGACAATGGTCGCAGTACTGAATTCATACGTCGCAGGGATTATCCGGATAAATCCCAGTGCTACGAATGTGGACAAGAAGGACATTTATCCTATGGATGTAGCAGCAATATGTTAGGTCCCCGAAAACCGCCACCGAAGAGAGTCAGGATACGAAAGAAGAACGTGAAGCAAGAAAAATATGATGCAAGTTACCTCGACAGTGATAGTGATGAAACGACGAGAAAGCCAAGGCGTAGCACTAATGATGTCGACGAGGTCGAAGATGATACGGAGGAGGAGCCTGAAACACTAAGTGCTGTCATTGCATTCGAGGTGCAGTTATTATTTTTACATTCTAGTTCAAAGCTGAAGAGAAAACAAATTTTAATTTTAAATGAGGAAAATATAAATATTAAATATTATTATAAATATATATATTAAATATTAATATTATTTTGAATCTTCATAGAATTAAATGTAGACATTTTCATTGATGATTTGACGATTTCAGCAAAGGCGAACTGAAATAGAACGTAGACAAACGATGGATGAATGTAATAGAAAAGACAGCTCGACTATACCAAAAAAACGTTATAAAAAGAATGATTATTTTAGTGATGAAGAAGATTTCAGTGAATAATATATATATATATATATATGGTATATAATAGCAATAATATGTATAATTGAATAAAAATATCAATAATGCTTAAAAGTGATTACCCTTTAAATTACTGTACATTATTTCTATGGTTAAAAAATTACATGTTTATCTATTTGCTTAAGAGAAACAGAATTAATATTTATAAATCGTATAACAAAGATCAAAGTTAAAGTGCTTTTATATTGCTAAATTTTTTCTCTTACTGATATTTTTTATTCGATTTGAATTTCAATGATTCAAGAAAATAATTCGAGCTAGCTAATTGAATTATTAATTTATGACAATTGTTGATATCACTAGATCTACAGTTCAAGAAGAGCCACAATAAAAGATACTTCACACAGATTTGTTCTTATTGATTTAATTTTACTGTCAGAGAAATGGCAGAAGTATTAATCAAATAGTTTTAACATATTTAGAGACAGAAATTGCCTTTAAGTTTTGCAAGATCGCGCAAACTATCGAATAACAATATTAATTAATTATAATAACGCCTTAAATGCAATTATTTAATATATACAGAATGCCTCAAGTAAATGGAGTTTCATTAGAGAACGAATAAGATATTTTTTTAAGTAAACTTAAAATTGATCTTTAATAAAAAAATTGCATATTATTATTTGTATATTTTTAAATCTTTTAAATATTTTATTATTTTTCTCGTATATTGAACTTTTTAAAGAAAAGCTATTATATATTAATGTAAAAAAACGATATAGACAAATAATAGTACACTAATTGTTAGATTTAAATGAACTTAATATTGATGATCTTGATGATGAAAAAGTTTAAATTAATATTGTTATATGTATTACAAAAAATAATTATATTTATATAAAATATATATGCACGTATACAATAATTATAATATATATAATATTTATAATATACAAAATATATAATAAAAAATATATATGTATAATTATGTGATAAAACTCATTCAAAACAATAAAAAGTAAATATTCCACAAAAATTGGAACACGCGTTTAAGAGATTTTCGAATACATATTATACTTAGCATTATCTTTTAGAAAAATTATTATTGAAAAACATCTTATCTTATGAAGGAAAAGTCAAAGAAATATGTACCAGACAAAGATTTATTCATAAATTCTGAATGATTTCCTCGCTACAAACTTTTCTTCCTTCCCTTCCCTTTGTTATGATAATAGTAATCGTTAATATAACAATTATTTATTAGTAAATTTTTAATATTTTTACTGTGGAAAGAGAATCTTTTTTCCAATTTGTTCAAAGAATTCGTAGAAACTGTGATCATCCTGAGACTTTCTGTATATATATTTTAATAGGTATGCACACCATTTATTATATATGAGGTTTATATTTCATTATAATTTAAACGTTAGAAAATATTAAACAAAATAAAAAAAGATTTTAGGCATTATATAGCGATCTTTCATCTTCCAGCTGAATGAATAAAAACTTTAACATAACGCGACATAATTACAATATACATTATATTCATATACTAATCCTATATCGAGGATATGGATGTATCACATTGAAATTTATGATACTATATTTCATCAGTCCAACGAGAGTTTGCATTTTAAAATACTTAAAGCAAGATTACTGCAGTCTAGGACGCATACACAAAAATTAGACTATGTAACAAGTATAATATATGTAACAAAATTAAAATCTGTGTTTTTTACCGTCTATGTCAGTCACATCCAGAATTTAATTAATTAGTACTAGTATAATCGAGTGCGTACTGCGACATTATTGTAAGCACGCTTGAACCTTCTCGATCCATTCCTGCGCCGTGACTGCATCGGCGGCGCAAAAGTTATACGTTCGTCTGTTTGTACGGAGCTGTAAAAAACATTATTCTATCATGCTTGTACGTACATCGTGCAACATAACAGAAATTATTTATTTAAAGAATAAATTAACTTGCAAAATTTAAAAAAAAGTACATCCAATATAACACTTTATTTTTGTAACTTTATTCAAAATTGTTTATATATACTTGAAGAGTGAGTTTTTTATATATTTAAATTTTGTATATTTAAAAATGACGTCACAATCTAACATAGTCGACAAGGAGCCGACTATGTTAGATTGTGACGCCAGGATTTATCCGAAATAACTTATACTTTATATATTTGAGAAGAGTGAATTTTTTTATATATTTATATAAATGTATTTTTACTATATTAAAGATAGAATATATACTTACATCAAAGAAGGATTTATCGTCCGTTTTCTTTGGTGGTCCAGGCATCGGCGCAGCTGGAGTAACAGACACTACCTCAGCCAAATCTGCAATACAATTTTGTGCAATTTTATTTCGTATAATCTCGTTTAAATTTTTCTTTCCTTTTTGTTACATCCATTCAATTACATACCTATATATCCTTTACAGTGTGAATCCTCCACTGCGTCATAATATCTCAATTGATGCTTAATAGAATCCAGTACGAACCATCTTTGCTTCCAACCTTTCAATAGAGCTCCTCGTTTATAAAGATAGCCCTCGTGCGTTCTATTTTCCGCTACGTTACTCGAAAATTGTTCGTAATATTGTTGAGAACTGGTTTGTATAGTTGTAACACCTATGAGCAAAACAAAAACTCATTATTAATTAATATGAAATTCGAAGAAACGATAAAACGAAGATTATACAGAGTGTTCTATTTTAATCTATCACCCCTCATAACTTTGCAGGGAGCGATTGTAGAGAAAAATGTTTCAGACAAAAGTTGTAGAGTCCAGAGGGGGTCATCTGATGGTGGACCTTGATCTTGACCTTGGGGTCAAATTTGAAAGTCAATATAATTCATTTGAAGATCAATATAAAAATTTTAAATTAAAATTCCTATTTCTCATTACATATTTTCCTTATATCTCATCTCAAGAGCTTTCCAAAACATTATAATAAAATATTTTTTCATTCAGTTTTCCAAGTTATAAGATACTGTTTCAAGCCTTGTAGTGGAAAATACTGGATAAAAAATATTTTATTATAGTGTTTTGGAAAGCTCTTGAGATGAGTTACAAGAATATGTAATGAGAAATAGGAATTTTAATTGTCTGAAATATTTTTCTCTCTCTATGACTGCTCTCTGCAACGTTACGAGTGATAGATTAAAATGAGACAGCCTGTATACAGGAAGAAAGTGCTTAATCTAATCCAATGAAACCTGGACATACTTGAGTTTACGCTTCCGTTGTCGCCGCCGCTTCTCGTCAGCGTGTGAGTCTGGAGATTATCCGTCACAGCCTTATACTTTGTGCAATTCTTTGGCACAGCATCCGCGCATTTGTCGTGACACACGTGGCCGCAGTCGATACACCTTAATCCAGCCTTCACGGGACCCCAGAGCACGCCGGAGCACGCATCGCAGTGAGTCGGCGTTGCAGAATCCAACCGTTCGAACCTTAGACAAGTGCGAAATGTAATTTGCGTTTGGTTTTTCACGTTTTATTATTTTACAGACATGGATCGCGATCGGATATACCTGTGCGGATGCGCGTATACGGAGCCTTCGTTCCCGGTGGTGCTTCCACCAGCGAGTTTGCCGCGTAACAGCAATTCCAGGGTGGAGCGTTTGTGAATCAACCGACCGTGATATCGTACCAGTGCCGTGCTAAAGGACGCGTGCCGCTAGAAAGAAAGAAGATCCTTCAATGAGAAATTCAACAAATAATGAAAATAGTAAATCGAAAAGGCTCTAATAGATAAATACAAAGTCGGATGTTGAAAAGAGGACTAGAAGAGCCGGACATTAAATGCAACAACATTATTTTTAAATTCCTCGATAATTATTTTGGACGTTTCGGTCCTTCTCAGCATATCAATAAGTAAAAAAATGTTTTTTTTTTACTAATTTTTAAGTAATTTTTAAGTAATTTTTTAGCAATTTTTTTTATTAACTGATATGCTAAGGATGGTCCAAAGGAAGGAAACCAAAACTATTATAAATTTATAATTAATTGTATTAATATATAATTATAAATTATATTAATTTATGAGAGATATAAAATCGTCAAACTTACGGCAAGTGAATCGGTATTTGGCAATTCAAGTTTGTCCCAGAGCACTTTCCACTTTTGCGGTAGATGACCTAACTCGGTCTCCAGTTTGTGAATCTCCTCCAAGAGATGCGAGAACTGATCGGGCACCATTGAGCTGACTCCGTCGTATCTAGAAACAAACAGTCTTAGTATCATTTCTTTGCGTTAACAAAATGTAAAAATGCGTCACTTAGGGTTTGTTTTTTATGTTTTTATTTTTATTGGTGTAATAAGTTAAAATGGGACACCCTGCATATTTGTCTCATTTTAACTTATTACACCAGAATGTACTAGTTCACCAGTGCACCGATAAAGAACAAATCCTTAATAAAGTTTATTCGCTTACCCTTGAGTGACCACTTTACGATTGCTCTTGACCACGCCATCCGCGGCCTCGGCCTCTTCCTCCTGCTGGGAATCCTGCTGCAGCACTTCAAGATCGTAAGCCGGACCATGCGCCAGCTCCTCTTCCAGGTAGAACTGCCAGATGTTGAGGCTCGGTAGATGCGAGACCGGTCGTAGAACAGGATTCTCCGTGTTGGGCGTGTACATGAAGTTGTAGAAGAGCGGGCATCTCGCGTGTTGCTTCTCTATATAATCGAATATACTCTGTCCGAGATTGCAGCCGGTGTTTCCGGTCCCCGCTAGTCTACCACCTGGATAAATCGTGTCGTCGTCGCTGCCGGTGTCCACGCCCTTGTGATGGCTCGTCAGAGAACCCCTCTTGTCCTCGATGGCGGTGATACCGCACTCGACCCGATCGAACTCGCAGTCTAGCAGGAACGTGCGGAAGCGACAAGACACCGAGTGATAAGCCAGAAATTTCAGGTAGTACTCGTTGAACTCGAAGGCCAGAGGAAACTGTCTTTGTATCTGGTGCACTATGTCGAGAAACTGTAGGAACGTGGGCGTGAAGTTGGTCGTCTGCGAGTTCGCGGCGAGGTTGCTTCTGTGGCCGAATCTGTGTCCAAAACCGAGCCATTCCTTCTCGATCAGGATCCTGAAACCGTCGATCGTGCGATAGTG